CTTACCTATGCTGCCCCAATCTGGGGTCTAGCTGCACAATCTAACAAGAAATCTGTACAAATTATTCAAAACAAACTTCTTCGTATTATCACTGGTGCACCCTGGTTTGTCCGCAACTCTACAATTCAGCAAGATTTAAAAATTGATTCTATTGACAACTATATTACTAAACTTTCTAGAAATTTCTTCAATACCATTGCTACTCACGAAAACCCTCTCATCAAGGCACAAACTATATTTACGCAATTGAATGGAAAATACAAGTATCCTTTCTCTACTTCTAAATGGAATCGAAGCCTCAAACCACCATAATTTCCTGCTCACTTATCGCTTTTTAGATATTTTACTTCAACGCACATTTACTGATCATAAATTTCTTGTTACGTTTCCATCACCGATGATTTACATTTTTCTTACTTTCTTCTTTTTTTTTTTTTCTCTCAAATCATACGATTACTATTATCTATTTATCATGACTTTTCTTTCCTACTGCCTTCACATACCATTGAGTAGATGAACGCTTCGCGTTTAGGCACTCGACATCTTTATTCAACAATGATGTGACATAAAAAGTTTGTCGATTTTTAATAGCCTTCTTAAAATAAGAATGTAGTCATTAATTATTTAATAGAAAAATACTAAATTGTTCTTTGAATTTGTTTTGGCATGCTATTTTTAATTAAATATGTTGTTTAACTGAAATATGAATTATTTTTAATGTATTGTATTAAGAAATAAATGATTCATTTAAAATTTAAAACTGAGCTTCGAGCTTGATTATTTTAAAACTGAGCTTAATATATGAGTTTCGATCGAGTAAGAAATAAAATGTTTATATGCATAATATAAGTCATTTCTTTTTGCAAAAATTAAAGCATTGTTTTTAATTTTTTAAATTATATTTTATGTATCCAAGTTTTGCAAATTTACTACTTAAAAAAGCAATATGACAGGCATAAGAAGAATAAACAATTACGTATGGGTAAATAACTGATAAATATAACGAATTTAAATTAGTACCAATGTATTCAAAAACAAAGGAAAATATTTTAAAATAAAATTCATCAAACTAATAACGACTTAATTAGCGCATTCTTGGAATATGATTAAAAAAATTCACAGAAAAGGCCAAGTGAAATCAAACAAACATTCATCACCTTCCCGATATCAAAAAGAATAAAAAAAAACCCACTTAAAATCAATTAAAGTCATACACCTCATGATATAACAATCAATTCTAATAAATAATTTCTACCTTCTTTGTTCGTTATAATACCCCTTTCCACTCTTTTCTCTCATCTTTTGAAATCGACAAAGCAATATCTAAGTTATTAGAATTAAATTCTTGTTTTACAAATCACTTGTCATTTTTTTGAATTTTCAGAAATTTTTTCAATTTCAAAATACAGGTGGTTATAAATATAATGGAAAAATCTGTGAATAAAAGGGACATTTAAGAAAGAGCTTTTACAAATCACTTGTCATTTTTTTTTAATTTTCAGAAATTTTTACAATATCAAAATACAGGTGGTTGTAAATATAATGGAAAATTCTGTGAATAAAAGGGACATTTAAGAAAGAGCTTCTTAAGCATTAAAAAGGAATTTTAGCTACCAGTTTTTTTAAATATAAGTATATATATTTTGATAATATATGTTAACATAGCTTTAGTAAAGTTGTATACATTTTGGATTTCTGTCAAAAGCGTGAGATGTCAGACCTCACAGACTTTCAAAGGGGTCAAATTGTAGGAGCCCGACTAACTGGAGCAACTACGACAGAAACATCCCAGCTTTTATGCGCTTCTAGAGGCATGGCGTTTAAAGTCATGACAGCGTACACACAGCAAGGCAAGACAAGCTCTGCAAAGGAAAGTGAATGAAAAGAGAAACTAAATGAAAAAGACCAACAGGTATTGAAGCGAATTGTAATGTCTAAAAAGAAAACAAATGTAGCCAAAGTGATCACAGAGTTCAATCGGCATCCGGATTCTCCAGTTTCAATAATTACAGTTAGGAGGTACTTTCATAAACAGGAAATTTCCTGGCCCAATTAATCAGGTCCAACGCCTAAAAGGGAGAAGTATAGAAAAGTTTTAACTGATCAGGTCCATCATAGGATGCAAATTTTGTTTCCTGCAGGAGATGGAATTTTCAAGATGATAATGTTCCTATTCCTGTAGTGGACCTGTCCAGTCTTGGTTTGATGAACGCAAAGATGAAGTGAAACATCTGACCTGGCCGCACAATCTCCCGACCTCAATATCATCGAACTGTTATGGTCTATATTAGAACGACCAATCCGGAATCGATATTCTCCACCACCATCTCTCTCTGAACTTTCACAATATCTTCCATGAAGAATGGTTCAATATTCCTCTATAAATGGACAGGAACTGCACTCTAGCACTTGTATAATTCGATTCCCAGACGAGTCCAAGCTGCATCACATCCCAAAGGTGGTCCTACGCCATATTAGTAAAGGATTCTTTATAATTCTAGGATGTTTCCATTATTTTGGTTATCGCCTGTATATCCTTTCAAATATTTCCATGTTCGAGTAAAGTACTTGAATAATATTTTTCTCTTTAATTTCCAATCATACATTCTTCATAATAAGTTAATGCTAAATTTTTATGCAAAAGGAAGTAACATGCTCAGCAAACGATTTGAACATGTTCAGATCGCATTCCTCCCTCGGTTTAACGTTTTATTTCTGAGTTATTCGGCATTTATAAATTTTTAGTACTTATTTCATGCAAGATCTTTATTAGAAACTTTTTCAACATTTCTTTGGCAAATTCCTTACTTAGCAAGACAGGACATTGTCGGCATAATAATAAGCAAAAATAGTTAATACACATTCTCTCAGTTAGTGAGAAAATTATTGAATAAGAATTTTGCATGCATAATACCAGCTATATTAACTTTCTTCGAGCTAATGTTGACATGTCTGCGGCTGAAATTTAAGTAATTTCTGAGTGGAAAGAAGAAGAAATTTCAAAATTGTTTTGAGAATGTCGGTTAGTCACTATATAAAGTTGTTAAATAGATATACATTCAATATTTATTTTGATATCTATAAAAATAAATACAGGTTTTTAATTTTTTTTTCAAAAAATATAAATGAAGAGAAAAGTAATATCTGTCATCAAAACAAAATTTAATTAAAAAAATTCATGAAAAATATGTATTTTATCCATCAAAGCATGCGGTCATAATCATTTTGCAAGAGTTTAGGGTGGATTTTTTATTTTTCAAACTATTTCTACCACAAAATTTTCCATGCAATGTTGATAGTTTCACATTTCATTTTTTTAAACTTATTCAAGAGTCTGCTCGAATGACCAGACTGATTTTTTTTCACATTTTCCTGAGTTCTCGCATTACCATCTTTTAATATGAAGGATTCACAAATTACAACCTTAATGATGAACAATAGGATCGAGAATATCCTTTCTATATAATGGAAGAGTAACAGGGCCTTTTGGGACAACATGCAAGTCAATGCGACCATCCAAAGAGATACCTTTTACACACAAACACTGGACCAAATATGTTTATTTCCTATATCTGAACTGAAATAATGGTGAATTCTCAGCAGAACAACGATCTTCTTGAGTCACTTTGAAAACAAAACCTGGATTCATCAATAAAATGTTCAATTTTCCATTGCTTTGTACTCTGATTAACATGAGTGTATACTCATTTAAGCCTTTCAATTTGGAAGGGTGATGTGAAGGATATATAAAATGGTGGAGCACTTGCATAAACAGTCTTTCACCAAACCTCTTCCACACACTTGTGTTGAGTATTAGCTTTTCAGTGGTTGCTACAAGAGAAAATTTGAGATTGGTTGGTGTAGCGACACACTAACTTCTTCAATAGCCATTCCGCCCGAGCCCTTCATGCCCCAGCCATTTCTGCCTGAGCCATTCCTGTCCGAGACATTCAGCCCCAGCCATTCCCGCCCGATCCATGCATGCCGCAGTCATTCCTGTCCCTTCCAAATCATGCCCGGCCATTACTGCCCTAAGTCATTCCTGCCACAGCAATCCATGGCCAGCCATTACTGCCCCGAGTCATTCATGGCCAGCCATTACTGCCCCGAGCTATTCATGCCCAGCCCTTACTGTCCCGAGCCATTCCCGTACAAAAATGTGATGCGTACAAAAAATTACAATAAGTGACGATATTGGTAATTCACGTATTGAAATTAAGCATTTTAATTATGATTAATGAGATTTGTGTTCCACTTACAATTGCTTGCTTGCAAGTTCACTAACAAAAATTATTAGGAGCAACTTCAAATACTCATCTGCTGTCAAGCGATCTGATGGCCACAATGGCCTTTGGTACCACAGGCTTTAGGTTCAAATCCTGGCTGCGGACAATCGTTAGTGGCTCGGAATCCCCGTTAAACTGTAAATCTCGATCTAATTAGCCTAAAGTGTGCAAAAAAATTATCTTAGAGCGACAAACCAAACTGTCAATTATCTTAAATTTGGATTATTTCATTGTATATTTTAATGTTTTCTCACATAAATAAGTAAGTACGGATCCTGGTGAATCGGGAGTCGAAAGGACTTGGCTTTTACCTAATTTGTATGCTCATAGTATGTTTCTCCTTGCAATTTTAAATTAAGTTCATTCATATGTTTAATTAAATCTCTATAAAATGATAACTTCTATACTAACTTACTGCTTTGTAACTCAGCCAGAGGAAAATTCCTTTCCTTCAATAAAATTTTGCTCAGAAATAAAAAAAAAAATCACTTTAAAACTTTTCCGCAGCTACATCTGAAAGATTATCTTGCGTTTTGCTTAATTTTGTTGATTATTTTAAGCCCGTTCCTGAAATTCACCCGATTCCATGACATTGTTAATTAAGATGCATTTCAATTTCACAACCCAAACTTTTCAGTTTTTCCATTTAATTGATTGATTTCCATGTTCATTGATAATCTTTCATTCCTTTGTAGAAGATTTACTACCAAGCCAACGACCATGCCATGCTGAATATACCGGTTCTCGTTAGATCACCGAAGTCAAGCATCATTCAGTACTTGGGTGGGTGACCACCTGGGAACACCGCGTGCCGTTGGCATTCGCAAATTTGAGACCTGAATGGGCGAGTGTCTAGCGCTCTGGTGCCACAAGTTTCGGGTTCGAATCCCGGCGGTGCCATGGATGTTTGTAGGGGTTCGGAATCCACTTTAAGCCGTAGGTCCCGGTCCCATATGACTGCAAGAGCGGAGCCAAAGTCAGACTTCTACCTACTAGGTGCTCCATCACAACAGAAGCTGCTTTCTTCCCCTTCAATCATGAGTACGTATGGGCTCGTGGGCTTGGCCAGTCAAGTGGGATAAGAAACAACAACAACAAAGATTTACTACCTGGCAGAACGATATTTTAAGTAAGTCTTGTAACAAACTGCTGAACACAAGATTTTACTTTTCAACATACATAATTCTCATCTTAGTCTTGTTCAAATTCATTTCGAAATAAATGAATTCAAATTCTATTCTAGATCTAGACCAAGTCCATAAACCCGTGTGGTCTCATGGAAGGAGGGAAAGGGGGACAGCTTATGCTGGGATGGCGCACCTATAGGCAGAAGTCTGACTTGGCTCCACGACGCTGAAAGGAGGGTAGTGCCTTCCGGGAGGACTTTTAGGGGAACTACCCCGCATTTGCGTGTCGTATGGGAGAAAACCCAGAAAACTTTCCCCAGGTATTCCCAATTCGCTAGGTACGAGGCTGAATATCACAAATGCCATCGAGTCTTCTCGTTTTTTGAAATGATGTCTACATCAATGTCGCCAGCGGATTGAATAATCGCCAATGCTCACCAGTGGTGGACGTTACTACTGAGCCACGAGTCGAGCACGTGAAAATATACATGACATATACGCTTTCAAGACCATGTGAAACTAGCAGAAACTACTAGTAGCAGACCTGATTGTAGCAGAAACTAGTTTTAGGAAGACACAAATCGAGAGAAAAATTCCTCTAGCAGAAATTCTCAAACTCTTCTCAATTTTCTGTAGGATATTTACAAAAGTTTTTGTTCTTATGCATATAACAAGGAGGCTACATCATTACCATGAAAGGCCACAAATGATCAAAAGTATTTTACAAGGTTTATTTCTAAATAATTACTGTTTACAATATAATTGTATAATTTATATATACAAAATACGTTTGTTATATACATGAGATGCACAAAAATTACAGCACAAGCATACGACAAATTACTCGTAATCAGAGACTGCACAGTAATATTTAGAAATAATAATATTTTTAAATATTACTGTGGGTAATACTACTTTTCACAATAATATTTAGAAATAACTTGCTTATGTTATATTATTTTTCTCCTACATTAATTATATATATACGAATATATATATGATTAGGGATTGCAATACCGGTATTTTGAGCCATTTGTACAATTTTGTAATACCGCTATTCACAAGTTTAAATACCGTTTTTTCGGTATTTACTAGAAATTTAGAATTCTTATCTGCGAAAACAAGGTTGTAGTTGTGAAGAAAGTGTGAATTTCGATATTTTTTAAATTAGTGAGTTTGTTATTCACATTGTATTTGCATATCATACTTTAGAGTTAAAAACATTTTTCAGATTTATTATATATATATTTATAAATAATACCCCATAATAATGAATAAGAATAACTTTAAAGAACATAAAAAATCAGTCTCTTGAACAAAAATTAGAATTGGCGATAACTAAAAAAATTTCAACAAGCCATAAATACAATACAGAAATAAGCTATATCCAAAACTGAAATAGATTTATTTGAAGATGAGGGATTTAGAGGTTAATACTTGGAAAAAGTATATCGCGCATTGCTAACAATACCACCAACTAACGTAGATGCTGAAAGAGCATTTTTCGACAGCTGGTAATTTTTGCACAAAATTACGTTCCAAGCTTAATGATAGTACAATTGGTTCCTTTTTTTTTTGAGATCACAGTTCAAAAATTTGTAATAGTACCACAAACTGAATAATAATATTTACTCTTTTTTGTGATTCTTTATATACTGTTATAATTTATAAGTTACAAATTTTTTTGTGATATTTACATTCTCCAATAAAACTGGCAAACAAAACAACAACAACAAAAAAAAAAAACTTGTGTTTTCTTTCTTTTTCTTCTCTATTAAAACCGGTATCCCGGTATTAAGATCTAAAAAATATATTGGTCCGATATTGCAATCCCTAGCTGTACCATATAGGAATTGATTCTGTTCTTAGAAATGCATTTCACAGTTTATGAATTGCAGAATGGCTCATATGCAATCATCTTACTATACAGAATTGATGCTACTTCTATTTTCCCAACAATTCACCATTGTAATTCTTTGGATATACGATGTTGATTATTCATTACTAAAACATGAATAAAAAAAAAATTCCTATACTGTTTCAACATTCAGAAATTGCAGACACTTTTAAAGCCTGTTTTGCATCATGAATCCAATGTCCAATGATGCTAAACAGCAGCTCCACTAATTTGAATACTACATTTTGATGTATCCTTACATTTTATGCTCATGAAAATTTTTATGAAAATGTACTTATTTTTGGATGCATAACTGCAAATTTTCTGATTTTTCTTAATTTTTGAAATTATTGTATTAATCTTTAAATCAGAATCCATTCTTGACATACATAAGAAATTAGTGCATTACAGGTTCAAGATGAAGGTATGAAAACAAAAGAAAATTATTTCCAAGGTTAAAATAATATGATTTTTTTTTTGTTTTATCCAATTTACTCATCAATAAAACATACTATATAAACCCAAATGAAAAAAAATATATATATATATCATTAAATAAATAAAGAAAGAAATTAAATGTGAATTATGAGCAACAAATGACAAATTCCCTTAATTTATTTTATGCACATAATTAAATGATCATTTTGACATGCAGACTGGACAACAACAGAATATTTTCAGAATAATGAGTAGCAAGAAGTCTTGGCTTATCTGTCTAAATTAGGATTGTAATTAATGAATGAATGCTAGATATTGGCAATAAAACACAAAGGATTTTGAAAAAAAGATCACACTATCTGAAAATGTCTGTAGTTTTTTTTTTTTTTTTTTTTAAGCTTTACTGTATATTGAATGTTGGAGATAAAGGTTAAGAAAAGCTATAGAAAAATAACGATCATAAATAAACTTGAATAAAATTTTTCAATCCAGCTGTTCGTATGTATTCCAACCTTTATAGTTGTAAAAATGTATAAAAAATTAGGAAACAGATTTGATTAATTTTTAATACACATACATATTAAAAACCATAAAATATTATCAAATAAAATGTATTAACCATATAATTGTTTTAACCATATAACTTATGTATCCTTAAAAAAAATATATAAATACACATCACTTTTAAAAAAATAAAGAACATTTTTTATTTTACATTCTGAAACTTTTTAAAATAAATAAGTGGATTTAATTTGTACTGAACATAAAAACACATCTAAAATTTTTCTGGGGTTTCTTCTTCTATATAATCTTCAGCAATTGTTTGTTCAGGTTCATCATATTCCACCTGAGAGTCAAATAAAATTGATTCCTTTTGATTTTTTTGAGTGCTTCTTTTTTCTCTCATGAGCTTTTTTCTCTCGACTTTAAACTTTTTCAAAAGGTCATCTCTATCAGAATCTGAGTGTAAGCTTGTTCCAGGGATTTTACAGAATAAATCACCCGATTCATCCCATTCTATTGATGACACTATCACATTACTTTTCTCAGGTTTTTTGGTTTTCAATGCATGAACTTTTTTCATTAAAGTATCGTGTTTTAAACCAAACACATCAGACTTCATATCCGAAGGCCTCATAGGTGCAGTAGATTTTACATTGGCATTCTTAGTAGGATAAGTATCTGCGACAGACTCACTTGTCTGTACAGAATTTTCTTTTTGATTTTCCTGCTAAAAAAAGAGTCAAAAATATTTGAACAATAAGTTCAAAAAAAAAAAAAAAAAAAAAAAATCTACAGTACAAGAAAAAAAATATGAAATATTGGTAAAGAAATAATACTTTATCTTTCAAAAAATTGAAACAAAGATAACATATAAAAAATTTAAAGAATAAGTAATAATTTGGTTGAGACTTGATTAAATAATTTTATATTTAGTCTATGAAATAGAATAAGAAAGCAGTTTTAAATTGGACACATTTAATACTATGGAAGTCACAGTATGTTTTGTTAAAAAAAAATTTTCTAATAATTTTTCAGCATATTTTTTTTAAAATAAAATGAAATATCAACAAAAACTGAAATTTTAATTAATTTAAAGAGATTGATAAATTATTGTACGTGATTGGACGTTTAAGTAAAACAAAATAACTTTCAAGTAAATAAAATTTGTATATCATTATTACTGTCAAATAGATTCTAATTTCCAAGTCTCAAAAATCTCGTAGTTCAACAAGACATATTTTTATTATAGAATATAAAATTTAAAAAAGAAAAATTTAAATGAGCAAACGACTATCGTTTTCTTTTACCATATAAATTATAAAGAATAACTTAAATTACAACTTTATAAACTACAATGGTTAGGTTACAGATACTTATTCAGAAGTAAATCATAAAAATAGCGAATAATTTACTACTTCTGAATAAAGCATTCACCTGCATATTTCAAATCAATTCACCAGCAAATGAGATCCAAAATTAAGATTTTTGTATTTTATTAAAAAAAAATATGTACAATAGTACATACTATATTTCTGCATACTATAGATACTCGAATCCAAGCAGGAATGAATCTAGAACATGAAATGTCCCAAAAACTGACTACAAAAAGATAATTTATAATCAGAAAATTTTTTTTTTGTTGCAAACTTTGCTTTCAAAATCATATATGTATAAACTTGTAAATTTAATTTCAAACTTTGTATTTATTTTATAAAACAGATTCTTTAAAAATTTTACAATTTTTATTGGTTGCTATTTTTAGTCAAGTTTATCTAAAACATACTGCAGCTAGATGTTAGACACCCATAACTAATAAGGTACAAGAACAGGAATGAGTTACTGGATATTCA